GGAATAATTTTGAAAATCATGCAAAACCTTGGGAAATTTTAACTGAGGGGAAAATTTTGTTATATTTTTCGAAAAAAACGCAACAATATCTGATAAAAAATAAAGTAAAAATAAAGCAAAATAATTTTTAAAGTAACAAGGCAAAAAATTAATTGTTTTCATTTTCTTTTCTGGTTTTAATTTTTAAATCCACTCATAAAATAAATAAAAACTCTTCTGATTTTAAAGTTAATATTGTGAATTATTAAAAAGTTAATAATTTTTAAAAAAAATTCAATTTTCTCTTTAAAAAAAAAAATTGAAGATTTACAAATTACATCCAGGTTTTGAATGTTTATAAAAGGGGGGGGGGGGTAGGCTCGGAAACTTTATCATTATGCTCTTAGACATTAGCAACCATACGAAAAACAGTACAAGCCAAAGAGTGAACGATAGTGTTCAATCAAGAATCCATGCCATAGTAGAATTTTATTATTTCAATTACTTCTACAATGTGTTCAAAATATAATGCATCTGTAAAAAATCCAGCCTAATTTTCATCAATTAGAAAAAATATTTGTGGATTGAAACACGGGTAACTAAGATATTAATAGTATAGGCAGTATAGGCCTACGTTGTAGGATTATAAATGAACAATTCCTTTAAAATTTTTTTTTTTTTGGTGAAAAAATCGTTATAATGTAAATTTTACAAGAAAAAATAAAACACTTATTGTTTTCATCGTAATATCAATCCATTTTAACTACAATTATTATTAATAAATTTTGCTTAATTGCTTTGCAAACCCCACTTGTAATCAACAGATTTACAATAATAAAAAATCATTTTTTGATGAAGAAACTTTTGCCTTTGTAAAAGGAATTCTGTGTTGATTAGCCTTGTATGCTTTTTTTTCCAAGTGACTTCTATTACACATGTATTGTAGATTATATTTTTATCAGAGAATTCGGAGGTAATATTTAGTAGCCTAACTCCAGTGGGTATTGATATTTTGGATTATAAATTATTTTTTTAAAAACAATTTTTTTTTAATGTGATAAACATGTTTTAAATGTCTTTTTCAATAAATTTCAGTCCATTAATATACCATGTTTTTCAGGGGCATTGATTCAATCTATTATTACATTAATTACATAGAAAATCCCCCTTTAAAAAGAAAAAACTCTTATATATTTGTATGATCTTGGGAAATCTTGGGAAATTTGTTCACCAAATCTTGGGAAATTTGAAAAAAGTGAGTGGCAGCCCTGTACGGGAGTAGGCAATGAAAGGCTATAACTCAAATTCCCCACATTAACGCAGCATTACATTTACATGCAATGACATCGCTTTCTTGGATAGCCAAAATAGGCTAGAACAGGATATATCTTACATTAATTCCTATCAATAAAAAAAAAAAAAATATGAGACAAGGCTTCAGTATTTATGAAAATACTTTCAAGACATATTATCATTTTTAAAATTATTCAATGATAAAATGTTGAATTTTCATATCTATAAATATCAAGTTTTATTTGAAAAATCAAAATAATGGTAATATTTTTATGAAGAGCGTTCACCCATTTAGGGCCGACATGGCAGTATTTTTTTTCGTTTAAATCTAAAACATATATCAAATTAAATAAACGTAATCACATATGAATTTCCAAATAACAGCCCCGACCCAAAAAATATTTCTAAAATAATTAAAAATCAAATAGGCTTTCAAAACAAACGCAACAAAGAAGTATTTATGTCGCAGTTGATAATTAAAACTTGGCTTTAATATATTAAAACAAACGCACATATTAACATACGTAAACATAAATAAACATGGTAAAAGAATAAAATAAAATTATTCTACAACTTTTAAACAGACAATGAGTCAGTATGGAAATACAATTTGGAATTGAAAATGCAACAAAAATCTGGTATTTTAACCAACGATAACTATACTCGTAAACCCAGAGTGACATAGTAAGTAAATTTAATATAGTTAAGATTACATGTAGAAACCTTACAAAAAACTTACTCTAAAGTTTTATTATCTCAATTTTTTAATTCATATAGTTTTATTCAAAACATTAAAAAAAATCTAAATCAGAAATAATTGCCCTTGCCTTACAGACACCCATGTTGTGAACAGCAACAAGATGGCGTCGAGGCTAACAAGCAGTATTGGTTTCATTTGTTTTGGTTTTTGATCAGTTAAAACTGTCTGGAATATATTAACAATATATTTTTCTATGCAAAAAACAAAACAACAACACTATCTCAATCAAATTAAAAATGTCGAAAATTCCCCTGCACTGCATTTTTTTTAGAATTGCAATAACCCAACTTGTCTCAACGGAAAAATTCAGAAACTTGATAGATTTAGCCAGACGTCTCACTCAGAGTCAGACGGCGCCGAAGACGAGTTTAGCAGACGTTTGAAACACGATTTTCGTTTGGACGTTTGCAAAACTAATATAAATTCTTTTCTGAAATTGTAAGGTATCAGTTTAATTTCTACTGAAATAAATTTTTTGATGGGATAGGATTATTATTTCAACAGTCGCTTTAGTCTTAGTGTGGACTGTAAAGACTAAAGACTTTTAAACATTTGTTCATAATTTTTGTGTCTGTAACTGAAAGTCTTTAATATTAATGTTAATTAACTCATTAAAATGGGTTTATAGTCTTAGTTAATAGAGTTAGAGGGAAAATGTCATGTTGGGTAGGCCTACTTAGTAGTGTATTTGTGGCGTAATTATATCTAGGTGCTAACAAAATAGATTCACTGGCTTCCCATTCATTTTTACACCACTTCCCGAGGGATCACATACAATGTTATATTTATAATGCCACACCCAAAAAAACAACAACACAACAACTGGTGGGGTGGGGGGAAGGAATAATTTCAAATTAGCTACCCTTTTTATGCCTATTAAGATTCACAGTCATATGATAAAACTTACAACAATTAATAAATATATTTGTATTTCAATATATTGGGGGGGGGGGGCTAAATAAAGTGGTTAACTTTAAAAATAAATCATGGTTTAACATTACACCCCCAGCCCACTCCTTTCCAAAAAATAATAAGAAATGCTTTACAAGTACTTTGCCACATAAGCGTGGAACTTAATTCAATATCTTCCCAAGGTGCTAAACGAATTTTAAATAAATAGTTTTCAGTTTTAACACGAGTATAACATTTATCTACAAGTACCGGTCAGGCCAAAAAGTTAAAGACTGGCAAAGACCATGGTTTTGCTATTTAAAATCGCTGCGGTGTACGCAGGCCACAGACCATGATTTAGCTAGGTACACCGCCACGGTGTACGTAGTGCCGGCCTTTCTTAAAATTAAAGACCACATAGTTAATGACACACTTTTCAAGTGTCAATGATTGCTATTTTTTTGTCAAGTGTATATTTTGTATATTTTATAACTGCTCTTGTGAATGTATGAGTGGAGTTTAAAATTATGAAGTAAATAATAGTTATTTTGGACATACATTATGAATTTGAATCCATTGAATTTTCCTAAATGTTTTCACCTCACCAAAAAAAAATACCCATCCTTACTGGGAGATTGGAGGGCGCAGGGGCTGCATTTTAGGTTCTCTTTTCTTACGATGGCTTATTTTTATTCTGTGTGCACCATGGTTAACATGAAATACGACCGTCCTGGATGTCACAAACTCTAGCTACCTCACTGGCTTAGCCCCCCAAGAATGGCCCTACCTTGTTGTTGGTTGATAAGTACATTCGTTCCAGACATTGCACATAACTAGGGGTGTCATCTGTACATATTTAACTACCGGTACCTCTTTGTTATGAGGTAGATGCACAACAATTCTGCCAGAAGGCTGACATTGTAAAATACACAAATATTGAAAAAGTCCAAAATAAATTGAAAGGATGATTCTTTTTTTGCAGGTTTGTTTCATTGATCACAGTTTTCAACTGTACTAAATCTTATTGTTATCTGTTGGAAGATGGACTCAGATGTTATTCGGATGGAAGAGTACATGGATGTATTGTACAGATGTAAATTCTGTCCATACACATGTACACTGTCTCCTGAAATGAGCAAACATGTGAGAGAAAATCATTTACCACTGTTAATGACTGCTCAGAATGAAAGTCCATCACCTAGGAGCAATGACATTGTCAAAGTTGAAGTTGGTAGGTTTTATATGTTTTATTTATTTAACAGACTTCTCAAGCATTTACAGTCAGCATACAATTTAAATAATTAAAAAAAACTAAAAGTGCCATACATTAATTTTTCATAAACACCATTGCATAAATTGATAATAAATATTCACATGGTAGAGAAAAACCTGGAGGACTATAAGAAAAATACATCAATTGTTTTCTTATTAAAATAGCTAGTTTAAAATAGTGTGTCAGATTTGAAAAAACTCTTCAATGCTTTTAGAGCATTCCTTGTTTTAGAATAAATAACCACCTTTATTTTCAGTGTAGATTTCAATGATTTATGTATTTTAATTTTATGTTAGAAAGCATTTAATCTTAAATTTATAGCTTTCTCAAGTTGTTTCTGACTTTTTTCTTATTTAGAATCATCATCTATGTCACCCTTGACACTTGGGTTGGGTGCCTCCAACAATATAGCTACCATCAACACTAATAACAATAGAATAAATGCCACACATTCCAGCAGCAGTAATAGCAGCAATTTTAATATCCAAGAATCTGAAGATGTTTTAGGGTTCACATCAGATGGGCAGACTTTCATAGATAAAGGTTTGAATGTAGAGTTAGGTTGTTTATCTTATTTATGGATGCATTATATACCAAAATAATTTTATCCTGAGTTAATTTATATTATAGTTAAATTTACTGTACTCATTATATGAACAGACTAAGCGGAAATCTGACTAAAAAAAATATTTTGATTTTCATAAAAATTATTTCAATAAGTGACATTTACAGACATTTGAACTATATAACTTTCTTGTCCTATAGTTTCTTTTGCCCCACTGGCAGTCCCGGTTACTCAAGGGGGTCCTATCAACTTGAGCAATACATCAACGCCTGACCTCACAGAACTCATCAATCTGGTAAAGCCTTCGGAATCCAACAATAGAGCTCATGTGTCCTCGGACAACAATAGTCACTATTCCACTGCAGAACAATCCCAGTACCACTCATCTCTGGGCACCCACTTGCCAGTTAGTTTAAACAGCAGTGACCTCATGACCACTAGTGACAGCTTGACCAAACCCTCGGTTATTCAGCTCCATTCAGGATCAGCTCAGATATCTTCCATTTCACAGCCCTACAACACTGCCAATGTTGTCTCAGCTGACCTGGATGCCTTGAATGTTTCACAGCCTTACTCTGTAATGGCAATACATTTGCCCAATTTATGTAAGTAAAAACTTTAATTTTTTAATAAGTAACATTTGATAACTTATGTTTATCATAATTCATCAAAAGGAATATAGTGGGTGGCACAAAAAAAATCAAAATGTAGTGTCTGCAAGAATTTTGTATGTGAAAATCTTTTTTTAAATTAAAATGCACCTCATCTCTTTTTTTTGTTTTTGTAAATATAATTATGTTGTAAAATATTTTAAATCAGCAATAATTATTTAAATGTGACATTCTTTCCATTCTGATGATTTATTTTTTGGAAGGCGGTTACTGTTTTTGTTTATATTGTATGGAGTAGAGATTCAAACACTTTAAATCCCTTGTAAATTTTTTTAAAAGTTCTTATATTCTGGTGTAATTTATGTCACATAAAAGAAAGTCATCATTGAAAGTTTTAATAGGGACAACTTTTCATCTTTTTTCAGCACTCAGTGGTTCAAATACAGTGCCACAATATGTCATGAGTGCTCCGGAGGCTGATACAGTTAATATACCAGAACATGCTGAAACTAAGGTATTGTCTTGTTATGATCATTTGAATTTTACTTCTGGTTAAACAAGCAATTAAGTTAAAACATATTTAAGTTTAAAAATATAATAAATTACCCGTTAAATTCAAAGTGTTTTAATTTCTAAATAATACTTGGGAAAAGTAGGGAATTTTGTTTTGAAAAAAAAGAATGGAAACCATGCACATTGCTAAAATTTTCTCAGCACTTTGAAAGTCAAGGCAAAAATAAGAAAAATCTTTTCAGATCTAAGTAAATTGATGAAAAATTGCAATAGATACAAAAATTTTTTTTAAATATTTAGGTGTATATAAATTTATTGGTTCATTTTTTTTACACATGTTTGAATTTCAAATTTCAATACTGATTTTATTTTTACAATTTCTTACCTGTTTTCATATCACCAACACAAGTCTTGTTGCAATACTCATGAATTTTATGTTTTTAGTTGTGAAAAAGTAGGGAATTTTTATTTTAAAAAAAGAGTGTATCATGTAAAAGTGAAATGTTTAAAAAAAATAATTTTTGTTTTTTTGAAGAGTCAAATAATTTTAATTTAGCCAAATATGTCAAATAAAATCAAACAAAATTTATTCTGGCAATTGTATTAAATGAGACAAAAATTCATGCATGATTGTTATTTTAGTCTTTACTAAGTACTTTAAAATTACCAAAACTAATATCTTGACAGGAGTTTTTACTGTGTGGTTTGTGTAAGCTTGCATTCACAACAATGGAAGAGTGTCAAGCCCACATGCAGTTGGAACACAAAGAACTTATGCAAGGGAGTGGGGTTAGCATTGGCGTGCAGGTAATATTGACTTGTTTAGTTCAGACAAATAATAATTAAAGTAATGATTTGATTTATGTTAAAACTGTTTTCAAAAGTTTATAATCTCAAAATGGATTTCATCAAATGAAATTTTGGGAATGAAACTTTCATTACAATTTTTTTTGTTTTATTTACATAACTTCTTGCATTCATTACCATCAGATATTATGGTAGCATTTCATGAGTTGTTTTGAACTTGTTAAAATTTCCAAATGATAATGGTTAGTATGCTCCTAAAATCTATAAATGCAAACAATTTATTTTATTGTGATCAAAATTCCTAGACTTTTCGAGATGATATAAACATATTTAAAGATTATTGAATTTAGCATTTATTACATGAATTTAGGTAGGTGGAGCTAAGAGAGGCAGAAAGAGAAAGTCAGAGCAGCAGCATAAAATCAAGACAGAGCCATTTATGGAGTCAGAGGATATGGAATGGCTACCTAGTGTATCAGATAACAGTCGCACAACACATCCTGATGGAAGCATGCGACGAAAAGTCAAGCCGCCCCGTGCACTTAAAGAAGACTATGTTCTAGGGAAACGTCCAAGAAAGAGGATTCGTGAATCATGTGTCAATCTCGGCTACAAAATTGTCTGTCCAATGATGAGTTGCAAGGCCAAGTTCAAAACTGATATAGGTATATATTTAATTGCATAGAAATGCCTGTTCTAGAGAGCTGAACTCTTTGATATCCATTTTAAAAAAAATAATTGACTAAATTTGTATATGTTACCTTAGATATATATATATATATATATATATTTGCACATCCTTGATGTAGTAATTTGACGTAATGTGTCACAAGTGGTGGCAAGATGTTGGTAATTAGTGAGGATTTGTGAACTATTTTTGATAGATGTGTTCCTGAGAGTGTTTGGGGGTGGAGAAACATATTTTGAGCAATGGGTAATGCCTGGATCTGGAGATCCATCTTCATGTTTTTTTCTTATATGAGCTTTACAAATATAATCATGATTTTGTGCTGTGGCTTAGGTCGGTCATATGTGCTTGAGTTAAATTTTATTGGTGCACAAAAATGAACATCTTTCCTGTGCGTACGATAGCTTTGCTCATTACATGAGACCATTGTGCTGAATGTTAATTAACTTAACGTCAGAACATTGTGAAACACATCATTTTTTAATAATCATTCTTAGACCAATGTGGGCAACCTTTGTTGTGGCGAATGAAAAGTGAAATTGGCCACACTATATATAAATCATGAAACGCTACTATTATATAAGATCTGCTAGTTTATATAAATATATTTATATAAATATATTTATTATATATATATATATATATATATCTGTGTTGTTATATAAATTTGTAAACTATGTCTTTAACCAAGACATCTTGGACAATGGTCACCATTTAACATCAAGAAACTTAAAGTGACTTGAACAAAGTTCTCTGAAATGTCAAATGAATATAAAACTCATGATTCAGCTACACATGAACAATAGCTAGAATTTTCCAAAATATTTCCTTGAAAAAGTGGAAAGAGATAAAAATCAAGGTATTTTTTATGAGCAATTGCTGAATCTTTGAGCTCATCTAGGTAATCAGTTTAAAGCCTCAAAGTTATTGTTATTTTTTTTTTTTACAAGGCATTGAATGATGCCAACATTTTCATATGCAAGGTAGAAGCCAGTGATGAACCAATTTTATGATAATTTTGTTTTCTTTCTGTAACTGTAACAGTTGTAAAATGTATATTGGCCAGATAGTTATTTTTTCTAGCAAGTATTGAAGGAGTGTTGAAATTCTCCAATAAGAATTATTTTTGCAAATTAAAACATTTCAGACTTTCTCTTATTGATTTTCTCTGTTTTATCTTGGTGGTTTCAGGTCTACACATCCATATGTCCTGCCATAATATGGATGACACTGCATTTACCTGCATGAAATGCCAAGCCCCCCATGAGTTTTGGAAACATTTGCGGATACATTTATGGAGAGTGCATAAGGTATAATATTTTATCGAAACATGTTGCATAAAGCATAAACAATTTATATACAGGCCAAAAAGTTATGTGTAAATTGAAGTTAAAGTAGTGAATATGAAATAATACTTTCAATATTTGGCTTTCTAATTTTCTAATACTTAAGTTCTGTTATCATTTGGGAATACAACTTGTCATAATATGGTTAAGTCCAACATTAAGTTTAGTTTTTATATAATAAACAAATTTTAAGAACAGTTTCTTTTTTACCTTTAGATTTGGAATGCTTGTTGATATTACTTATTTTATGGGGGTCAAAGACAAATGTTTCCTTTATTCATTGCCACTGTTTGTATATTTTCCAAGGTTGACTGTGATTTGTTTAAGTGTGATTTATGTGACTACAAGACTGATACACACCACAAAATGAGTATACATAAGGTACCAGTATCATCTTTTTTTGTGTTTATATAAATCGGTTGACATCATATGTTTTTATTATTATTAACCATTCTAAAACAATTATTTTATACCATTCTAAAAACATTTTGAAATAATGCAAACTAATTTTGATGTTTGAATATTTTACTGTATAATTAACAGGAAATTCATACAAATGCCAAGCCTTATGCTTGTGATGTTTGTGGAAAGGGCTTTCGTCAGGCATCTCAAATGAAAAATCACCAGGTCATTCATGCTAATCGTGCTGACAAAGCCGGATCTAGGGGTTGGTTCTCATCAAAGTCATGTGATATCTGTGATAGGGTCTTTGCTAACAGGTTTGTTATTATGAATAGGAGCAATATAAATTGATAAGATGTCCTCAAATGTTTAAATGATATTATCTACGAGCATGGGGAATTTTAAACTATTGAAGCTTTATTAAAATATAAAATGCATTGCAGCAAATGTCTCAAGAAACATAAAGAGGCTGTGCACACAGACCACAAGCCTTTTGAATGTATGTACTGCAGCCATACAACGGCAAGGAAAGCCATGATGGAGCTGCACATCCGAACACACACGGGAGAAAAACCATTCAAGTAAGTAAGAAGTGTGATATGCAGTGTATGTTTTATAATTGTTTAGGAACCAGCATTTTTACTTCATGATGAAGGAGGCAAGATAGAACATTAAATGTAGTGAAAGTTCATGCCATAGATAGAACATTAACTTTTATGAAAGTTTATGCCGTAGATAGAACATTAAATATTGTGAATGTTCATGCCGAAGATAGAGCAAATAAATGTTTTGAAAGTTCATGCTGTAGATGGAACATTAAATATTGTGAAAGTTCATGCCTTTCTAAAAATTGGTCATAAAAATGTTTCAGTAAAGCTATTTTCTGTTAATGTAATTTAGATAAGATTCTTTTATTGATACAAAGAAATGGAAATGTTTCTTGATTGCATTGTACATTTTCAGTACATAAATAAAACAATTTGTACAAAAGACATCTACATTAAATTATTTCACTAGTGAAAAAAACAGCCATTCAGTGAATTCTCTTAGCCATATCAGGGACTTATAAGTTCTCATTAAGATGAGGTAAAAGATGCTTTATTTTGAATTACCCTGTCAATTTTCCTTTTGGTAAACTTACAATCCTATTGCTCTGCAGATGTGATATCTGTCCTTACAGCACCGGGGATCATAATTCTATGAGGCGACATAAGGTAATCTCAGTTTCAAACGGGTTTTAAATATTACATTTTTGAAGAATTTAGCCTTAGTATTAATTCATGTGATCCTGTCATTTAAAAAATGGGATCATGATATATAACTGCTTTTAATTCAATTCACATATAATGCTAGCCCCTGACTTTTTGTTTGAAAAAAACCCAAAAACGCAACGTCCATGTTGTTTGAAGAAAAAAAATGCAATGTAAATGTATAAGTATAATGCGATCTGTTAATCTTGTTACTGGATAAGAAAATACATAGTAATGAAATAAATATTTATTTAGAACTACCGGGTTTAAGAAAAATTAAAAAATCCTCTTGAAAGATATTTCAATTTGAAATTAGAAGTGAGCTCAATTAATACAATTTGTATTTCCTTATTATAGCCGTATTGTCACTATCTTGATTTCTTTCTAGACAATAATATAAAAAATTAATATGAACATTTATTACTCTGCCTCAGGCTACACTTGTTTCCTGCATATATATTTTTATAGAAAAAAAAGATTTATAACACTATTTTGAAAAAATGAACTGAAATCAACAGATGCGTCACACTGGCCAGAAACAGTATCGGTGCACCCAGTGCCCGTACACCTGTATCCAGAGCATCTCGCTAAAGCAGCACATGCGCCACAAACACCCAGGGACTTCAGCTGGAATCTTTCAATGTTCACGTTGTCCATTTCGTACCATTAATCAGTGCATTTATAGCAATCACATGCAAGTAGGTGCCTTACAAATTTATTGGTAAATTTTGGTTGAAGTTCTCATAATAGAATATTTAATAAAGCTGTTATCTTTGTTAACTGATCATCTTAATTGACACAGGTAATATTTTGATGAAGTTTGTTATTGAAAATGATTTGAAAGGAAAACAAGATCCTGTAAAAATGTGTAATAGTTGTAACTAAGAAAGTTAAATAAAGTAATTGTATATAGTAATTGTTTATTAAGAAATAACCACTAATACTCAAATTATATCATCTGTTTAAAAAGGATCATAAGAAAGGTTTGATCCCGGATAAAATAATTCCCCCAAGACTGGAGCTACCGAAGACAAGAAAACTAACCCACAGATCTCAAACTGGGAAGCGTAATGCTGGACAAAATTTGGTAGGTCCCATTATCTTATGGTATGTCTTATTTTTTGTTATTGTAATGCTTACCCATCTTATTCAAATAGTCCTGTTAATATGATTAGGTAACATTTCAACAAAAACCTAACAGTCATAAGGTATATAGTAAGTCTTTCTTTAATTAATCCCAAGGTTGAGCCCCTGCTGATCAAGCACCCCCAGTTTCATGCTGTGTTGCCGGGTAGTGAACCTACATCTCTTACTAACCTCAGTGGCGATGCACTTTCTAGTTTAAATTCTACCTTAGGTGAAAGCTCTCCGTCAGAAGTTTTTACAATGCAGGTAGGTGATTTTATTATATTCAGCTTCAGAAATTTTTAAGGCCAAACTGAATAAAAATTCTAGGGAGTATGAGATATCAATAAATTTATGCAATTCGTACTGTAGTATAATAATAACAATAAAAAATATAGTTATATGATCATGCTGTTTCATATTAACAAAGGGCGATATATAAGTTACAAAGCCCTACCCCTTACAAGCCCTCTTGAATTATCATATAAAATACAGCACAATATTGCTACCTTTTTTAAATGGAGTTCTAATTTTTTATCTAGGTGACCATGTTACCTGAGGGAGACACACAGATCAGTGCTGATGATATGAAAAGATTGTCTGAGAGCACAGGACTTCTAGCCACAGGGGTTTCACCACTGCAGCTCATCTATGCCACACTGTCAACTATATCAGAGCAGGGAGAAGCCGCAAGAGTGGGGGAAGGCAGATCTGCCCTCCTCACAGCAGAACTCATCGGAGGAATCCACACTGCGGTTCTCAGCTCCATGCAGGACGGTGTAACCGTTCATTCCATAACATATCACCTGCCAAGGGTGGTGCCTGGCACTGATGAGCCACTGACCGTGACAGTGAATGATAAGATTTATGAAGGGCTTATATCAAATGTCAAGGCAGAGCCCAAGGATGAGATTGAAGATGATACAGTGCTTAAACAGGAAACGGATTCCTCCATTGCTGTTGTTTTACCAACCCTGGAGGATGAAGCCAACAAATGTGAAGGTATCTTCTACATGGGCAACAGTGAGAAAAAATCAAACAATATGTCAGCGGGTGGAGATAAGGTGGGGAAGAAAAAAAATGCTAAAAAGAGCAGGGGTGAAAAACTAACAGGATCAAGTGCGCTCAGGGAAATGTTAGAGTCAAGGGAAAAAATGACCATACTCAACACACAGAATGGAGAGGTCAGCTTCATGGCTGTGGATTTCCTTGAACCAAACTCTATAGATACTGAGTCTTCCCAGGTTTTTACCACTAGTGATTGTTAGAGAAAAAAGTGGTACTTGTTAAAAGACTTCAACTACTTGATAGTTGATGTGCCTGTTTTTAAGTATTAAATTGTGAATGTTAGTACCATCCTAACATGGTAAGCTGTTCATTAGCTATTACAATGTTCAGATGAATGAAGTGATTTTATTTAAAAATTCAAGAGATTATGGAATATTATTACTTTTGAAAAAATAATGATTTTTAGATTTTAATTGTAGCTTTTCATTTGATGAGAGGCTCATCTTTCCTGATAAATGAAAAATATTATTAAATGTATGTACCTTTAGGCTAGGTATAACATAGATACTTAGATAGACATTTCCTAAGAGCCTTTTATTGCTCTATTAAGAATTCAGTGAAAATAGTAGTGCTTAAAGTATTTATTTCCCTGCTGTTTATTTTTTAGTGATGGGCTGACATTCCAAGAAAACATACTGATATTATTATTGCTCAAGCTTCTATGAAGCTATTACTTTACTGCCTGTTACAAGGCAAGAGAAATTTTAACTTTGGAAGCCATTTTCCTATTTCTGTTCTAAGTTGTTTCAGGAAATTTTGATTCATGTTGTGCACAGACGTGCCATGGGAAACATAAAATCATCTACTTATTTGTACGAATAAATAATAGTTTATGAACTTATGGATTCAGAAGAGCAAAAAACATTTTTGATATGATTTAGGTTTCCTAAAAGCACAAAATATAACTAACCCCACATTTCTGTCATCACAGTTTGAATTGGTATTAACTAATTCTTTATTTTAAACTATCACTCACAATTACAGGTTTCAGGTAAAGAAAAATTAAGTTGTTTTAAATTTAAAAAAAAATTAAAATAATTATCAAAACAAATTTATAAGAGAATAACTCATGCATCATGAATAATAAAAAAAAAAGCTGTCAAAGATGTTTTGTGCAGTCAATTGAAACCATGAAAAATTACATCAACTTTGACTCTAATATCAATTCTAGTGGCAGTAGTAGAGAAGATGAGGAAATATGGCCAGCATTTACTTAGGGAAGTTAAAATTTTATAACTTTTAATTGTCTGTATGCATTGGTCAAAACTCCCAAACTACACCCCCCCCCCATGCATGTGTAATATATGGACACCCCTCCCCCCTTACAACTTTGTTTTAATTGTGTTCTAAATGAAGCAATCTGTTATTTTGGTTGTTTCTTGAAGTTGTTAATTTTAAAAAAAATCATGTTCTTGTTGAATATTTGTGCAATAAATGCATGATCTACTACTTTTCATTTGCAAACTTTGTGTCCTAAAAGTCTTTGAAATTGCAGTTTGAGAATGCTGGAGTCTATTTTATCTACAAGTGATGTGCATGTTATAATTCTTCTTGTAGATGGATAGCCTATTGTAGCAAATGGTACATTGTCTAGGTCCCTTCCGTATGGCCAGAGAAAACAATGTCTAAAACTCTTTTGTTGTCTCTTAGCCCCTACAAGGCTGATGTTTAATGTGAAGTCAAATTAATCACAAAACATTTTAAAATTCATATTTATTTATCTACTGTCTGAAACACAAAATGCCTTACAAGTTATTACTGCCATTCATGATAGAAACATATTTTTTCCAAAAGGAATCTCCAATCACACTAAGATGCACTCCACTCCTATTTAAAAAAAAACCCTAAGATTCACTCCTAATCCTAGCAAAAATATTAAGTGTCTCTCCTATTAAAAATAATATTCACCGATTTTCACAAAAATCAACACTCAATCACATTCATGTTAAATTTGTGATTACAGTAAAGGGAAACTATAAAAGGAAAAATTACCATCACATTATCACGTAATGTGAGGGACACCAATTTCATAGATCCATTAGAATGCTTGAACATGTAGAGTTACAGATCTATTACAGTGGTGGTTCAGTTGAGCTAACAAACAATTATACTGGGCTTAATATGTGAGAAGACTATGATCAAGTTTTAAAATAAAGAAATATAAAAGTACTTAATGTGAAATGACAAGACAACAGCAGCCACCCAGAACCCTTCTTTGTTACACAACAAATGAAAGTTAAAACAAACTAAAATAATAAACAGAACAAAATTAGGTGATCAAATAAATCATGAACAGGGGACAGTATAGTGTACCCTGGATATATCTTTTCAAAAGGAACAGAACATGTTTCTTCCACTTTATCAGTTGGACAGACACAGGGTAAGGTGGAAATGAATGTTTTTATTTATTTATCTTAAGTGATAGTGGTAACTTTGAGGCATGTGAAAATCTCTCAATATAATAATGCAAATTTTATTTGGTACCTTGCCTTTATCTTATGATAAGGACAAAAATATAGTCAACAAAACAGTTTTAAACAGTGAGGTTATCTTATACAACTAATTTTAATTGTGCTACACCCTACAATTAATTCTATCCAAACCCAAGAAATTTTTTATCATAAAGAAATGAATTAATGGAAACATTACAATAATTACATACAATGTCTTGCATAAAAGTATGACCTGACCTAATTAAAATGTGTTAATTTAAACAACATTCAAGGATATTGCCATCCCAACCACTCTGATATGACTTTGAGATTTCCAAATGTCCTTCCATACATTACTTATCACAGTGATGTCGTCGCACGTCAAGCCCCGGCAGGAAAATATAAATTTCTTCAGTGGATGGTGACATTGCATTTTGGCTCTGAAAGCGTCTATCAGTTCTGAGCCCAGAGGAGACACAATAGAGCATCCCCGAGCAGTTAAGTCCTCAACTTGGATTCCAACTCCTGTGGTCATATACAATAATTTTTGCAGAGTCTTGTTGGTGATGTTAGGATTTTGTGACAAGGTGAGGGAACGTAAACTTTTACAGGCTGTAGGGAATCTGGATGGAAGAAAAAGGTCCGAAACAATTCTTAAAATATATTTTAAATTTCTGTAACTGTCTTCTATACAAATGGTGTCAACATGTTGCATAATAATTAGATGTACATTTCATAAATAGAAACATGCATGATTAAAATTACTTTATTTTTGTTTAGGAAATGATATTACACAGTGCAGGTGCACCACAGTTTGTGATCCAGATGAAATAGTTCTCAAATTTTGGAATGCTGTACCACTTAAAGACTGCTAATCTAATCTATTTACAAGAGGAATAAAATCAGCAGCATGAGCCTAAGCTCCTTTGAGGCCAACAATTATCCCTATTCACAATCAACCCTCCCCACCTTGAAGTGAAGGAAGGGAAGGTTGTGAAGCGGCACTTCCAGATTATCCCCCATCACTGACAGACACTGGAACACCAGAGGTAGCTCGTTTATCAAGTGGTGGTCGTCACCATGAAATTGCCCCTAATTCAGGTTCCTATGACTGCCCCCTATTTCACCAACCCAAGGGACATGTAGCAACACTGTAGTGCATGTGGGTCAACGCTGTTAAGAGATGTTCCTTGCAGCCATCTTGCTAAGGTTTCCTCAGCAATGTCAACAAGGTTGATCCTGGTAATGTTTAACATGCTAATAAGGCCATGAGCACTCCTGGCTCTTCAGTTTAACATTACATTTACATTACATGAAATTAGCTAGTAGCGGGGTCAAAGCGGCTGCTTTTTCATCATCACTAACATCATTTTTTATTATTTTTAACCTACGAACAAAATCATTAGCAGCAACTGTAATTATGACCCGAGCATTTTGCCTGGTTCATCTACAGACTTTAAGAGAAGGAAGGAATATATTTTCTGCTATAATCTAGGAAAAAAAATGTGCGCCCCTGCAGGTAAACTAGGTAGAGCACTAATCCACCTCAGCCACAGCTGCGCCCACAAGCACGAGGCTTAAAACTACTAAAATTTACTATCTTAAGCATATTTTGTCATTTGTACTGGATATCTGTCAATGTATTTGTTATTTTGTTACATCTCATTGTACCACCTGAAATGAATTAAGCTACCTCTAGTGGTAAATGTGCCAGTTTGCAATCACCTGTCTGGATTACTTTACTGCCAAGAAAGTTTTAAAATGAGATCAAAGTACATTTCACTAATGTCTCTAAATCATGAATCTTCCAGAACCATTAAATCGATTCACCTATTTATGCAGTTAATGTCATCAGTAGAAAGGTAACAGCCGGCCACACATAGCTCTTGCAAACAGCAACCGGCAGTCACAAACTGCTCCAGTGCTGGTCCAATATCAGTTTCAGATGCTGTCCTGGTGTGGGATATGTTCAGTGAGATCAGTGTGTCAGGATGTAAGACCTTGAGTAAGTGTTTGATTCCCTCATCTTTGATCTGGTTTTCAGCTATGTTCAGATATTCCAGTTGACAACCTGAAGGAGTAAAACCTCTGTGTTTAGATATTATTATTAAGTAGAAGATACATTGATAAACTCATCAGTAATGCATTGGTATTGTCTCAAAAAATATTTTTGTCTCTGTTGGTCAATCGCCTTAATAAAATGCCTTTTTTGTTTAGAAAATAGTTATCTTGAAATTGAAAAAAAAAACAAAACAAAACAAAATTTATTAAAAATATCTAAATATTAAATCAAGAGCAAACCATATTTATTTATTTGAAGCACTTTGGACTACTGTCTATCAATGATAAGTACTTGCTTATCAAAGAACCTTTACCTCTCAAAGCATCACAGAATGAAGTTGTAAAAACCTTGACTGAAAAACCACATGATGACAGGTTGAGACTTTTCAGCTCTGGCAACTTTTCTATCACAGATGTTAGAGGTTCAGATGCTATATCGTCCAGACAATTGTGGCTCAGACTTAGTGTGGTTAGGGATTGTAGGCAGGTCTCTGATTTCAACACAAAGGAAATACCATTTATCCCATCAGCAGATATGTTGTTTCCATCAAGCATCAGGACTTTTAAAACGGGCAAAGTTACTAAAACTTTCATGAGAGATACAATGCCAGAGTCACCTAGCCTGTTGCCATTGAGTCGGAGTTCTGTTAAAGTTTTTTGACCCTCCAGAGCTTGGAAGACGGGTTGAAGGGCAGAAAGCCCAAGCCCAAAATCGGTGAGGGGCAAATGCCCAATGTTTTCCGACTGCTGGAGAGCTGAAGAAACATTTTTATTTGGCTCATTCAGACTGAGCCGGCAGGCCTGTTCGTATCTTTCCTCAAGCCTCGGCCTCTCCCAAGCGCTGACGTTGGCGGTGAGGACATCAGAGTCCAGCAGAACTGTGTTGATGATGTCACTCTGGCACAGCACCGTCCCGTCCTGTGTGCTCAGGGTCAAGCTGGGGAGAAGCAAGAACATGTTGAAGTATCTCTGTCTCGCCTGGAGGGTGAGCCAGGAGATTGTCTTCTCTTGCTCAGAGGGTTGGATGGGTATCAGGAGGGTCTGGTCTGCAAACTTCACCTTCACTCTCATGCTGTTTTTATAGGTGGCTTTTTCAAAGGGCTCTGCTGTTAGGGGAGGTCTTGGAGCAGATTCTTTGGTACCGGAACTGCAAGCCTGAGCTATTTTTAATAGCAGATCTGTGGTCTTGCTGTAAAAAATGTCCTGCTCTGGTGTGTTATTCTGTTTACTTAACGCATCACTTTTGTTCACATGTGAAGAATCATCAGAAACTTTGATGCCGTAGTTTTCTCCTCTCCCATGCAGCACTGGAGATGACTCTCTCAGTGGTGACCCTCTCGTTGTGGGGTCACAAGTTTTGCTCAGAGGTATCACATTATTTTGGCGCCCGGCGTCGTTTACATCACTTTCATTGAAATTTTCGGTGAGTAGCAACATGTCATCATCAGAATCCCAGAAATCACCACTTACACTTTTTAATGGTTTGCTGTGTTCCGTTGAAGATGACACGGGACAAGATTCACTCAAACTGTCATTCGGACATGTCTTTTCTGACAGCCCATCACTTGGAACACAACCATTGCTAGAAACTTCATCTCTGTCTGCACTGTGTGAGTATTTGCTCCTTTTCCCAGGTAAATTTGTACCAGAGCTGTTGGTCTCGCTTCGCCCAGCAGGCCGTGACCTTTTCTTTGTTATGACATTGTTGGTCCTGGATGTTGTAAGGAGATTCGTCACAGCTGCACTTTTCTTTTTGGTTCTGGAAATTTTCATGTCGTCAACCAACCAGGTGTCACCCACATCTTCCTCGGCACTCAGCAGGGCTGGTCTGACGCTGACCGGTGCATCATCTTTGGTTTCATGTTCGAAATCAGCATGAGCCTCTAATCGCTTCTGGGCTGAGTTGCCGATAAAATCAATGGCCGACCTGTACACTTGAGTGGCAATGTTAGGTTTTTCTGTGTCAGTGGGGGTAGGGGAAAGCCGGGCACAAAAGTCAAAGCTTTCATCTTCAGAGATGTCTTGGTCTGATGTCTCCGATTTCTCATCTTCAAATGTTGGCTGCCTGACCTCTCTCTTTTTGGGGTGCTGCACTTCTCTTCTATTCAGGAACATCCACACACAAAAAAAAGTCAATTTTGAAGTAAATATATGTAATAGTCTGTAAATGTAAATAAAACATTGCCAATATTGTTGAAGAGCTGGGTTTCCCAACCTTGACACCCCCCCCCCCTCCCAAAGGTTACAAGGAAAAGTAACTAAGAAATCGAAGACATAAGTTACTTATATGTAATAGTCTGTAAATGTAAATAAAACTATGCCAATATTGTTGAAGAGCTGGGTTTCCCAACCTTGACACCCCCCCCCCTCCCAAAGGTTACAAGGAAAAGTAACTAAGAAATCGAAGACATAAGTTACTTTTTGTCCTAAGTTACATGTTTATTTTTTAATTTCTCAGTGCTTTAATGCAATTCAATAAAAAAAAGAAGAATTAGTCTGTTGTTTTCAAAATTTAACATGGGTTCTTACTTGTGTAGGGGGGTGTGTGTCTGTGTGTGTGGAGTACAGAGAAGGTTGGTAGAGAGTTAATTAAACATTTTTTTGTGTAGAATGATTTGAACAGTTTCAATATTTACAAGAAACTTGTCTATTTTGCCAAAAATATCACCTTGGTAGGTGCTGTGCATTACTAGAAGTGATGCTCTTTGAAAGGATGGAATGGGACTTAAAGTAAAATTGACTGAATAGGGGCTTAAAGTAACATTAACTGAATAGGGACTTAACGTAACATTGAATGAATTCTATTTTATTATTACTCAGTTCCCTACATGTATCAATCTTCAAACACTATGATATCTTTAGCCTGCTCTCGAACAATGCAGATTTGTTAGTTTCAGTGAAATGAAAAATACATACGAAAGTATCACATTCAAAATTTTATAAAATAATACAGCATTGACCTTCTTTAGTCTCAAAAACCCATTTTAAAAATGAGGACTTGTACATGAGTTAATGATATATTTATTTTTAAAAATTCATTCCAAACAGACTTACTTATGCCTCAGTTTGTTTAACCTTTGTCTAATGACATTGGTCTGCACTTTATCTCTCCTGTCCACTTCTGCTGGGATATCTTCGTCAACGTCATCATCCACCAAGTCAGGCAGGCGAACATTTATCTTCTGCATGTGGGAAGAGGATGGCTTTGAGCTTGGAGTTGAGTTGGCGATTCTTTTTAACCTTGGGGCACCGCTTTGACCTTGAAATTTATGCAAACATTTATAATTTAAATTTGTTAGGCAGCACAATGGCAAGATGAGAAACCAGATATCTCATATACGTTTGTGCACCTGTGTTTTGTTGTTGCTTCTTCAATCTTCAAAGTATTTTTAAAAATATTGTTAGCCATATCAAAACTAAAATCAATATATCAAAATAAGCTATTTAAAATCTTAATCATGGAAAGAAAAGGAAAAAAAATACCTTGATTAAATACTTGCAGAATTTTTACCATTTCAATGCAGTCCCAACATTGCTGGACAGGACATGTTGTGAGAATGTCGGACTACTGCTTGCCCCAAAAAAATATTTTATAGGGAGCTTAAGTAGGGAGGGTGGTTTGCTGGTGTGCAGAAGTAACGCTTTAAAGACAGCCTAAAGGCATCACTGAAAGCATTTGATATAAACTCTGAGACATGGGAAGAATCTGCAAAAGATTGAGTACAGTTGCATTCCTCTTGACACAAAGGCTACATGCAACATGAAGCCAACAGATCAGAGACTTCTATGCACAAAAGACATGCCAGAAAAGCCTGTGTTAACTCTGCACCTGGAGGACTCCCATTAATCCCCTGCACACTTGCACTAAAAGAACATCTCATTGCACAATGGTTCTCATCAGCCATCTGCACGCCCACAGCCAAAATTCAGAACTAGCACGAATATGATGATTAAAATGATCATAGTTGATTTTGACCTACGAACTATATATATATATATATAACTATATAACTATATATATATATTTATATATATAACTATTAAATATCTCTGACCCACCCATCTTGCTGAGCAGCAATTTTTCTGTTGTTTGGTATTCCAATGTATCTCCAGCCCCCAGCATCTCGCCACTTCTACTGAACCAGGCTTGAAGACTGACCAGTGCCGTGTTGCCCTTCAGAAAATATGAATTTAAAAAAGCATATCTTTGTATAATGCCATATGATTTTCAAAAAGAAAAAAAAAGAAAAAAAAAGAAGCTTTCCTTCCAAAACCATTTTGCTATAACATTTCTGGCAACCAGCCGACTTGCACTGAATTAACACAAAACAGCTGTATATTTTATTTAATGAAATAAACTATTTTTAACATCTTTACTTCATTAAATAACCTCAATCACTTTAGGTATATAACTGATCCAATGTAATGACAGAGTCTGGGGTAAAATTAAAAACATGTTACACTTGTTTACATTACATTTAATGATTAAATATTGTTGTATTTGGGGATAAAATAAAGAACAGAGTTCAGGTTAACACTAAAAAATATAAAGATCTTAGAGGAAAATATGTTCTTTGACATAATAGAAATATTGAACACACAACACTTATTTATTTTCTCTCCTCAACAAGGAATGGTGGGATGATTAGTTCGCCATATTAAGAAAATAGTTCAGGACATTGTAAGTGAAAGCCTGAATAACAACAAAAGAAAACCAAAAGGATGCTTCATGTTGGATTTGAATACTAAGCTGAGGTGTGATTTTATAATCTGCTATCTTCATTGTTTTTTTGCCGGAGAGGTTTTTAAGAGGCTGAATGAGGACATGTAATTATTACAAATAACTTCCTTCCAATAAAAAAAACAACAACTTACATCATCATCTTTAGCCATCAGGTTGGCTCCTCTGTCCACAAGCAACCTCACGATATCCAGGTTACCACAGTTGGCTGCGTCAATCAGGGGGGTCACACCGCCACACCTTTCACCACCTCTGTCATTTATCCAGGCCCCGCAGTCCAACAAATACTCAACAATAGCTGTGTGTCCATGGTTGCAGGCCTCGTGAACAGGCAGCCAGCCACAGTGATCCCTGGGGTTAACCGGATGGCCCTCAATTAGGGTAAAAAAAAAGAGACATTTTTCTTTATTGAATATTGTTGGTAAAAAAAAATTACAATGACATTGATTGACAATATTTAATTAAGCAATTGTTAAAATTGCTGACTTAGCAAATTTGAAGACTGGTTTAAATCAGTTGGAAAGAGCCTCCTATAATATAGAATTCCTTTGATCTCAATAAAATCAAATTTTAAAAACTATATTAAAAAAACTTGTACACGAACTAAACTTAAAAAATATAATTAAATATCAAATAAAGCTGATATTCAATTAGTTTTTAAATATTTTTTTAGTAAACAAAATTTCTTGAAACTATTTACAGAAAAATGCAAGTCAGTCAGTTTACCTACCTCTGCTATAAGAGATTTAACTTTCTTTAAATTTCCATCTATACAAGCTCTATGAAGAGGAGTTTCACCCTTTTCATTTCTCTGGAAAACCAATATTAAATTAAAACCAATTCTGTACCAAAAACTAAAATGTAAATTCTTTTATTAAAAAATAAAAATCTTGCAAATCTTCTCCTCCAATAAATGTAAAAAATTGCTTCCCTGATTTAAATCTGAACTTAAATGTTTAATATATTTTGGAGTCATAAACAAGGACAGGTTTCAAACTGTCAAGTCAATTAGAGTAAAAGTGGGTAAAAAGATGTTACAACAACTCACTCTTGCCAGTTTTGATTTCTTACGACTAGTAGCAGCAGCTTCTATGTTGACTTGATCACCATCTGATTCTTCTGTGAAAAAAAATTGAACTTAATAAGTTGACAACTCACAAAGGCATAGATGAGACGAGGTTAAGCACAAATAATTGTAATAAAAATTAAACAAACCTTAAAAGCAAAGTTTTTCATATAAATCCTGTGCATTTAAAAAAATATTTTATATTAATATTCTTATGTAACACCCACTTTTACACCACAGAGCTATTACACGAACTATTTCAGAAATTAAAAAGAAAATATTATGCACCAGACGCATTTTTTATTGAAAAATTTCATTTAGTTCAGTTATTGGGAATTTTATTTCGTGGAATCAAAGGTACTTATATCCTTCATCTTCCCTTTGAAAAACAGTAAAATTTGATTTTTGAGGTTTGGGTCTGAAAATTTTATAGCACTTGTTGTCATCGGCAACACGTCTATGTGCCAAGTTTCAGCTCGAAAGGTTGACGGGAAGTGGATCAATCAGCCATCCGAAGATTTTGCCACCCACCCAGACAGAAAGAAAGAAACACATGAACAAAAGCAATTTTAACATAAAGGATTTAAACATAAACAGCATTAAATCAAGCATTGAATTGATTTTTTCCCCCTCAAAGTTGTACCTCTGAAATGATTCACGGTAAATTAAATTGAATTGGCATGACTAATTACCTGACACAGTGAGATCAGAGAGACTAAGATTGCCGTCGTCATCGCCATCGTTTTTTTTATGCTCCCCTACTTCATCACTAACTGGACTGTCTGGCAAACCAGCCATTTCATATTTTGTCATCAGGGCATCCAATTTTTTTTCTGTCTCTTGTAGATGGATAGTTTGTTTGCACAGCTTCTGCAGTACAGTCAGTGACTTAAGTGTTTGAATCTGTGGAAAGGACATTTTTATTGAACCTCTAATGAATTAAACTTGTCACTGGTGTCAAGGGTATGAGAATCACTGTTGTGATATTTGAAATTAAAGTAAATGATAATCACCAGAAATAATGCAAGCAAGAGTGAACAAGGCATGAGATTGTCAATAATGGGCGAGAGGGTATATATAGAGAGCTGTTTGGGGGGGGGGGGGGGGGGTTGTAACACATTCACCGTAACAAGAGTTGTGTGTTTCTGAGTCTGTCAGACATATTGTGAAGTAGTGATTATTCTGTGTTTCCCTTGGGTTTGGTGGTCATGCTACATGACTATGTAATAGGTGATGAAGTTAATAAACTTATAGTATTATATAATGGAGTCAGAGTTATAGCGCATTGGACTAACATATAGGATAAGTTAGACTAGCCAGAGGAGATTGGAGAGAACATACCGGTTGCCTGAAAGTAAGAGTAGCCGGATCGTCCACCCTGAGATCTACAGCTCTTCAACTGGCATAGTATTTATTAGGTGTTTATAGTTTTTTTAAACCCACATAATTTAATAAAAACGATTTTTATTGTGACTAAGTAAAAACATTTATTCAGCTACATTATAACTTGTTACTATATAGTATGAAGAACAATCACATCAGTTTAACTTGATAAATTGATTTTTTTGGTAAGTTTTAACCAAAAAAAATGAATGGACAATAATTCTGTAGGAATTTACCAGTGTGCTCCCACTGAAGTTCTTAATGAGAACTAATAAGTTCCTGATATGGCTAAGAAAATTCACTGAATGGCTGTTAAATGTAGATGTCTTGCGTTCAAATTGTTTTATTTATGTGCTGAAAATCTACAATGCAATCAAAAAACATTTTCATTTGTTTGGATTAATAAAAGAATCTTATCTTATCTCAATTAACAAGCCATAAACTTATCTGACTTAAAACAAGAGTTAACTTCAGAAAACTTAGTATTGAGCACACCACTCACATAAAAACACAAGTGCACCGGCTGCATAGCAAAGTGATATCTGAACACACACATTCATGCACAAATATATGCCCATAAGATGTAAAGTTAACTTCAGCTGCAGGAGTCTGTGGATGTTACCAGTACTTAACCTGTAATTGTGGATGTTACCTGTACACTACGTGTAATTGTGGATGTTACCAGTAGATTACCTGTAACTGTGGATGTTACCAGTAGATTACCTGTAATTGTGGATGTTTAGCCTTCTTAGCTGCTTCAAATGCTGACATGTAAATCTTACAGACGACAGCATACTTTGAACCTTTTAACTCCTCCAGCTCAGCAATGTTCAATAATGTGAGACAGGACTGAAATAGAAAAAATATTTTATATTTGGCAACCCCAATCAGTACCGATTGAAGGCAATAATGTGAAACAGATGAATGTTAAAGAAGAAATACAGCAAAGCAGATCCGATTACATTGTTATCTATTTTAAATGATTTTCTTCCTCCATAAAATATTCCTCAAAGAAAAAAAACCAAAACAATTAACATTTCATTTATGTCTACACCAGTTTCATCGGTTAACTGCATAAACTGTAACTATTTGAAAATAAAGTTCAATTCACATCAATGTGAAATGGGGATTCATTATCTAGAATCCAAACCTGTTCTGGGTGATCCTTTCTCTCTTCCAGTTCTTGTCTGTAATACAGGATGGCATTGTCATACTGTTGAATATCTGAGTAGGTTTGAGCCAGAGATACATATATAGCAGCTTTCTCCTCACTGGACATCAGATCGCTGTGCTGAAGCTTTAAAGTTAAGAAAAGTTTTGAAAATTACTAAAATCACTAAATAAGGGTGAAGTTGCAGTCAAAGCATCTTCATGAAAGGATTTTTTCCTTATAATCCAAATTATTTGTAAATTTAAGACCGGTGTGCTTGGTTTATTATTATTACTATTGCTAGACCCAATAAAACTCTAAAAAGATATAAGCTTGTTTTTTTTGTGTAAATAAAGAGTTGTGGCTGGGTCACTGTCAAAAGCTGTTCAGCATCGAGTGTAGAAAACATATAGTAAAATGCTGATGCAGAATATTTCTGAAATCAACTCCACAATTAAACATACCACTTTAAGATAATTTTCTATGGCTTCTTTATAATTTCCCAACTCAGCGGCACAGTCCGCAATGACTTCATGAAGTTTGGCCCCTTTGCTTTCACTTCCTTCTGTCTCGAGATCTTGCATGGCTTCTTGCATTTTGTTTACTGAAAAATGATTAATTTGAGTGATTGGAGCTTCAGACAAATGTCTTGGATCACTCTTGTTACTGAAGTGTGGTTACTTTAAAAATATTATCATATAAACATATTGGTTCAGCTTTCATCTTTTATAATTACCATTCAGTTGACTTTTAAAAAAAATTATAATAAAAGAATGACTCAAAAGCACAGAAGCTTTAAGAAAAATGAAAACAACATTTTTTTTAAAAATTCAAATTTTTTGTCACAGTCAGGGTCGTTGTCACAATCAAGGTAGTCTTAGTTTCTGGTACAATTTCATCTGCCCACAAAGTCAAGAGGATCCAGCCCACACATTTGTTGCTATAAAAATAATATGCAAAGACAAATAAACATTCAATCTGTACATATGACATGACCATCACTTATGCACACACTTCCCATGTTGTTTCACCACCAGCTCATCATATAAAAATTTTGGGTACCCACTGACAGTATATTTCATGTGCTCACACTGTCACTGACTTAGCAACTCAAGGCAGAACTCGACTACCTGGTCAGTTTTTTTAAACACTTTTTTATGAAGTTAGCTTCTGTGTTCCAAGTATTTTACTGATGACACATAAGCTTCCTCTGTGTTAAATAGCAACACTTGCACTGTGTGCCGATGACGCTACCGCTGCGTGCCCATGACACTAGCACTGCGTGCCCATGACACTAGCACTGCGTGCCAATGACACTAGCACTGTGTGCTAATGACACTAGCACTGTGTGCCTAAAAAAAGAACCTGGTGCTCAATCAGGACAATGTAAAAAAAAAAAAAAAAATTCAAGACAAAAAAAGAACATCTAAAAAAAGAACAGGAAAAATGCAATAGATTTAGATAGACACTAGCACGGTGTGCATAAAAAAAAAACCAGGTGCACAAACAGGAAAATAAAAAAAAAAAAAAAAAAAAAAATTCAAGACATAGAATGAACATCTAGATAATGAACAGGAAAAATGCAATAGTTTTGAAATATTTCATCAAAGATATAACTACAAACAAAATGAAACCCAGAGTAGCATTTAAAAACATGAGCCTACCATTGCAAAATATATTGATCAAGTCCTTTTCACTGACATCGGAATCAACCTTTATCTTGTGTGCTTTCTTCAGGCAGTGCTTGGCTGCCAGGAAATCACAAACACAAACGTGAACCTGAAACAAAAAATGCAATAATGAAGTGGAGACTCCATATAAGCAATAATAAAAGGGAGACTCCATGTAAGCAATAATAAGGGGGAGACTCCATATAAGCAATAATAAGGGGGAGACTCCATGTAAGCAATAATAAGGGGGAGACTCCATATAAGCAATAATAAGGGGGAGACTGCTATCATAGATTCATTGTAGATGTCTTTGGAAAATTGGCAAAAAGAAACAATATTTGGGGTCCATATCACACAATACTCAGCTTTGTACACAATAAGTGATCAGTGCTGAGAAATTAAGTTCTGTTTTCCCTGTTTTCATATTTCATCTAATTATTTTACTGTGTCACAGAGAAGGTAAAACTATAATTTTTGACAGAATTATTCTATAAGTAAGTCAGTAGTCCTATTTTAACCCTTTACAGGGCATAGCGGCTAAAAACGTCTTAACTAACAAAAGGGAAAAATGTCAGAAAGTGTTCATGATAACTAAGGGTTGTAAACACTCGATCTCTGAGAATTTGAGAGACTTCCAATTGTTAACATCCAGTTTTGCTGATAGCTTGATATCATGGGTGCCAGTTACAAGTGTTTTCTTTAAAGTTGATTGAATTTAAAAAAATAGTTTTCAGGGTTTTAATGCTTTGTTTTCCAAATTGGATTTCGACTATTCTTCAAGGGATAGCAGAGATTTCACTGGGTTCAATGTAAGTGACATTGAAGTGTATGAAATTGACTATGAATAAGAGATAGATATAAATATTATCAGTGATATCAGGTTAAGCAGTGTACACACTTCTCGGCAGAGTTTTTGTAAATAGTAAATAGATGAGTGACAATTACAAACAAAATGTTGCGTTTTGTACAAATTTGTGTTCACGTGCGGATTACGCGCAACATGTGAGTAAAATTTTTAAAAATCTGCATTAATTTTCTGTTTTATTTCACAAATTTTTGTTCACTAACACCTTAGATTTCATATTTTTGCTAAAGTAACTCTAGACCTTACTAAAAACTGGAAAAATGTTGCCCCTTCAGAGTTAGAAAAAGGAAGAAGGTGTGCCCTGTAAAGGGTTAAAGAAGGTCTCACTTTGGCCTTTTGAACAAACAGCTCCCTCTCTCTCACTTTATCCCTCAGTTTATCTGCCAATCTGAGAGCCACTTCTAAGAATCTCAGGGCCTGGCTATACTGGCCGCTCTTCTGATACATCGTGGCTAGGCCTACATTGCACATGTAAAGCTCATCTTCCAATTTAAATTTTCTGAAATAAAAAAATACATTTGCTGTCATAACACGACCAAATGATGACACTTTTTTTTTTCTGTATGAAATGCCATAAAGTCTGTACCAACGTCTGCCCATATTTATCAAAGGTATAAGTTTTTAGGTTATGGCATGGAATATTATATGCACTTAAATTGTGTGATGGAATATGTTTAGAATGTATGGAGCTGCTAAGTAGAACATTGTCAAGATAGGTACTAGTATTAGTTATTTGTGTATGACATAGTTTATGTTGTTAAGGTAGTGTTTGTAGATATATTAGGCAATTGAGATATTCGCTTTTTGGAGAGCAGATGATACATTAGCTTAGTGTATGCAATTGAGACATTAGGTTAGTCATGAGGAGTTGAGTATATGCTGTACTTTATGGACTATAAGACGCACTTTTTTCTTCGAAAAAATTGCCTCCAAAATTCAGGTGCATCTTATACTTGAAATTAATATTAAAATGTCAAGTGTTTGATTTAAAATTCCGCCAGTCTTAAAAATGGCCATATATTCAACATATATTGGATTCAACTGGCAGCAGCAGTGCACCTGTGCAACAAACATGAGTTGCGGGGATTCACAAGCTTTCCAACATTGTCTCCCCCCCGCTTCACCATCACAGACCCAGAAAATGGTTAAATTTTTTTATTTTTTTTAAATTTCTTAAAAAGTAAGGAGCGTCTTATAGTCCATAAAATATGGTAGTTACTCCTGAGTAGTCGATATTGGCTTAGTGTAAAGCAAACGTGTGATATAGTATAACCAATATACATAAAATATACATAATCATAATCACACCCTAAACAGATTAGTGAGATGCATCTTTGGACTTATCAATGTGAGAGAGAGATATCCTAGTCTTTATCAGAAGTTAAATAGTTAAGTGGTGACAACATGATGCAAATATTTTGTTTTAACTTCATTATGTTAATCCCCAATTCCTAAGAACAAAGAATGATACTATATAATTCCATTTTAATAATAATAATAATTCTTACTGTGCAATGGTGATGGCCCTTTTCATCATGTCAGCACTGATCTTCATGTCACCCCGAGCATCAAATACATGGCCTGAATAATTACAGTTGGAATCAAATTAGTCATTGATTAGCTACAAACATTAATAATTTCTATTTGTTTTAAAAATTATCTTTTCATTTTTTTTTTTTTGTTGCTTTAAAACCAATAGGCTTGATTTCAATTTATAAAAATTTATGCATACCAAAAACCTTTCCACAGTGTCTATCATGGCCTGAATAATTACAGTTGGAATCAAATTAGTCATTGATTAGCTACAAACATTAATAATTTCTATTTGTTTTAAAAATTATCTTTTCATTTTTTTTTTTTGTTGCTTTAAAACCAATAGGCTTGATTTCAAGTTATAAAAATTTATGCATACCAAAAACCTTTCCACAGTGTCTAACACAAAATGAATGTGAAATGTTTTCACTAAATAAACTCATTGAAATTTACAATGAGATGATGTAACTTAGTTACTGGTTGTAGCCAATAGAAATCTGATTATTGAAAGAGATTTTGACCTTGGATGCAATAACACTTCATTTTTAATCAAATTTGTTGAAGATATCAATGAAAATAGAAATAGGGGTCGCCATTAGTGCCTAAAATAAATCTGTGAAACAACTAAAATGCTTACCGAGGTTCAGATAAAGTCTGCCTTTCATTGCCATATACTCTTGAAGTTTTACAGCTGCTTTAACTTTTTCGCACATTTCAAGAGCCTTCACAAAAGCCTTTTCAGCTTTCTTGCCTGCCAGGGCAGATTCCTGTAAATTTCTGGTCTCTGTTTGACACAGATAAGTTCGACCTATGGTTGCCCATGCTCTTTGCTCTTCCAGGTGGTTACCACATTCCCTAAAATGATGAAAAGCCTTTTTAAAATTTATCTCAAAACAAACAAACATCATCTTACACAGAGAATAAATCTTATATTTCAGTGCAAGTTTACAAAAATTGCAGATAAACTTTTATTA